CCGGCGTAGGAGCAAGCCTACCTCCGGCATTGGAAGGCCCAAGAACTGCTCACGGAGCGGGAAGAGGCAAGCGGCTGATGCAGCTCGAGCGCGAGGAGGAGCGACATGCTGGCGAGCAAGCAGTCCAGCCGGCGGTGTAGGCGGCGCAAGAGGGTGACGTTGCCCAGGCCTGGGAGGCGGCATTCCCCTTAGCTAGCCCAGCGTTGGAGCTGGTTGACCTCACCGGGTCAGACGACGTGGATGCCTAGGGCAGTGCGTGCGGCGACACGAAGTTTTTTTGTTTAATCAATGTTTAATGTTTTAAGTGGACTTTGGCCGACATTTGATCGGTTTTTAATATATAATTATGTTAAATTTGAACGTGATTACTCTTTTTTATTTAAAAAGTCAGCGTCCTAGAAATATGGGTTGAGCCAGCGTTGGGCGTATGCTTTGACCCAAATGGAAAAGTGAACACGAGCGTCCGCACGACCGATTCAAACAAACAAAAAACGGACAAAGGACGCGTCCGTTTGGGTCGACTCATTGGAGTTGCTCTAATCGGCCCAAGAACCATCCACGACGAGGACGAAGGCATGCGCTAGGGGAAAGATAATCTCATCCTCGACGTGCATCGACAAGTGGGGAAAACCTAACGGACGACGCATGGAGGAAAAGTATAAGAAAATCTCAGCCCAACTTCTATCTAGTATATTCCATTCTCTCGAATTGAGTCTAGCTCATGGTTACTCCCTCCGTCCGATGAAAAATGTAATTTAGAAATTTTAAGACAAATTATGGAATGAAGTAAAAAATGCATTGAAAAGATGCAAGCCTTTCTCCTCTTTAATTACCCAACTCCCAATGAGCTAAATGCATGTAAAAATTACGAAATTGCTTTATGCACGACAGAACCGCACGATCTACAGATGACACCTTCCGTCCCAAGAGCATTGGGCAGCAGCTTTAAAAAAACAATTGCATGAAGCGTGCATGCTCGTTGTAGGTGCTGCCACGTTGGATCGTCCAGGCGTTGGGCACAGATATGTCGTGTGTATAGCATAGCTCTAAAAATTAAGAAGATCATATGTTGAATATTATTAGTCTTGATTACCGTGTGATGAGAAAGAAGCATTTTTTCCATTTTAATGCATTTAGAAGATAAAAATACATTTTTTATGGACAAATTTTAAACCTAAATATACACTCTTCATCAGACAGAAGGAGTAGGTGTTTTGTGGTGGACTATACTATACTATAGCAGTCTGGTCAAGAAAATACTGTACTGCATAGCAATAGAGGTTTTTTTTCTCATCTCAATCAAATCAAAATAATTGTGGTACGTATTCAGACACTCAAAGTCATAGCCCAGATCCGTGGAGAGAGAATAAATATCCGGGCGATCATGGTACGATAGTGCACCGTCAGCTCCTAGAAATATCTCGCCGGTGCTCTGTAGCGTCTCGCCACGTGCCCCCTCACCAGCCGGAGGTTACACACGCCCGCGCCCCACCCAATGGATGCTGGTCACCGGGGCGGGCCCCGCAGAACGGTCTGATGTCGCCAAAGCACGTGAGCTCGCGGTGACGTGTCGAAATTTCCGCGGCGTCAGGTCGGCCGGTACAGGAAAGGTCGTGACAGTTCTCAAAAAAAAAAGGAAAGGTAGTGACAAGCGAAAGCTCCGTTGCACATGGAGTCAAAGGATTTTTTAGGCGTGCCCAATTGAAGCAGTAGTTTAGATACGTGTTACTATCTCTGACACATATCATGTCATTTTTTTAGCAGTGCATCAGTCTATTTTTAGCAACCACAATATGTGACGGCAAAGTAAGTTGTCCGTAAAAATCCTACTGATTTTATCTCTCTTTTAGATATTATTATATTCTCTGCGTTCCTTTTTACACTGCATATAAGATTTATTTGAGGACATTATCATAGACTTTAGGACTTTTTGCGAAAAGCTTTTCTGAAGTTGGCACGTATATTCTTCGGGGAGTGCTACAAATCATCCGATGATTTTATCCAAAATTAAGCCGCCTCCTAATCCGTCCGATTTGACGTTTCACATCCGTAGGATCAGAAAGCTCCCCGTGGCAGCACCAAGCAGCAGCTCTCATGGCAGTAGCTCCCATGCCAGCACCAACCACGCCCGACTGTGCTTCAATGCAACCGCTGCTGGAGCTCCGACGACCCACCATAGCTTCACTGCAGCTCCGGCGGTGCTTCATTGCAACTCCGGCGACGCTTCAACGACCCCTATGACGCTTCATTGCAACTCCGGCAGTGCTACATTGCAACCCCAACGATGTTTTGTTGCAGCGCCAACATCGGCGCCGCGGTGCTCCACGGCATGCAGCATCCTGACGCCGCCGGTGAAGCTTCACTGCAGCACCACCACCATGCGCCGGTGCTCCATTGTATCACCGACTGCTCCGTTGAAACTCCACCGCAGCACCTGATGGCCGCCGGCGAAGCTTCAGTGCAGCGCAGCGCGACGGCCACAAGGTGCTGCGATGAAGCACGACGACGACCGCGGAGGTTGCGACGCAGCGCGGCGGCGACGGAGATGCTGCGACGCAGCAGGCGGGTGGTGACGGCAGATCTTGAAGCAGCAACCGCACTGATGCACGCGATGGTCGGAGGGGACGCAGTCCTTTGCGGCCTTACGGCTGGTTGCTGGAGAAAAGCGAATCGACGGGAAAGGGACGAGAAGGTCGCTGGAGTTCTTTCTGGAGATAAGGATAAGGGAACGCTCGGGGAAGAAGAGAGAAAACTACTGGACGAGCTTTCTCTCGCGTGAATAGATGACCAGTTAAGGGAACGCTCGGTGGTGGTGCTCACAGGGACGCGTGTCAAGCATTGGAGGCGGCTTAAGATGTGATAAATCATCCGGCTGTTTTTCATCGTTTTCCATATTCTTCACGGCGAAAGGAGAAGGTCAAGGTAAACATGCTTCAATATATCTATCTCTATCTTTACTAAGCTCGTTAGGAACAAAGTGTTGTGAGCACTTTAATCCTTGATCACACCGTAGATATCTTAAGGACCAGAGCGAATGACGGGCCAGTTCTTTTGGGCGATTCTACTAGAATCACCCCCCTCCTCAGATTTTCCCAGAATCACCACTTCATATGTTTTTTACAATCCTACCTAATTAGACCTTAACTAGATAGGATTGTAAAAAAAATATGGAGTGGCGATTCTGAGAGAAGCTGAGGAGGGGGGTGATTCTGGGAGAATCGCCGAAAAGAACTGGCCTGAAAGTGACCATGGACCCTGCTGGTCCCTTCAAGTTTTCACATGCTACAGGACTGCACCGCTTTTATGTAAATTGGCTTGTGCAATTTGTTTGGTCTCGCATGTTTTGTTGCGACACACATCCTTCACAACTGCATGATTTTCGTTCTGCCCCAAAATTAATGTCTCTGGTCCATCCCCTTGGCGATCTTGTATGATAGTCTTGGTCCATTTCTTAGCCTTGTACTCCCTCCGTTTCAAAATGGATGACCCAAGTTTGTACTAAAGTTAGTATAAAGTTGAGTCATCTATTCTGGAACGGAGGGAGTAGTACAAAGGCAATAACCATATGAGTGCCATTTGGATCCACTTCTTATGGAGTACGATCTATGGGCTAGTACCATGAATGAAATTTCAACAAGCATCGATTTTGCTTTTGCAGTAGACGACATGCATAGTTGAATATGTGAATACCTAAAGCCTCTAGCTCCCTACAAAATAAAAACTGTAGTTACGGTTGCTCCTCCTCGTGTGCAATGGTGTCCTCGACATGCATACGACAGGCGGGTCCAATTATTGGGTCTTCCTTTATACAATTTTCACAAATTTGAGGTTTGAATTGTTAAAACGTTGAATTATCCATTCAAACATGTAAATGTGGCATGCTAGGTCGTTATGCAAGTCGCGTGCTACAAAGCCGGATCACCCACCGTGCAAAAAGCTACAACTCTTCTTTGTCGGCTGATGAAAAAGTTTCTGGTTTTGGGCGGTGTCACGAAAGAGAATGCC